TCTCTCCCTCTCTCTCCCTCTCTCTCCCTCTCTCTCCCTCTCTCTCCCTCTCCCTCTTCCTCTCCCCTTCCCTCCTTCCTATCCCTGCCCCCACCCCATGTGATATGTTTCCATGAGGACGAATGTGGAGACCAGAGATCAATGTTGTGTCTTTTTCTTAATTATTTCTCCACCTTTTAAGATTTATTTTCTATTTTAAACTCTGGGTATTTGTGCAAGCATATCTCTGTAGGTTTATGCACATGTGAGTATTAATGCCTGGGGAGTCCAGAAGAGGGCATCAGAGTCTCTGAATCTGGGGTTATAGGAAGTTGTGAGCGGCTTATATGGGTGCTAGGAACAGAACTCAGATCTTCTGTAAGAGCAGTAGACACCCTTAACCCCTAAGCTGTCTCTCTAGCTCACCCCACCTCGCCTTTGAGACAGGGTCTCTCACTGAACCTGAAACTCACTCATTGGCTTGCATCCAGCGAGCAGCCAGGATCCACCTGTTTCTGCCTCCCCAGCTCTGGAGTTACAGCCATGTACCGCGATCCAAGACTCCTTCCTACATAACTGCTGGGGGTTTAAACTCAGGTCTTCACGCCTGAGCTGCAAGCCCTTTAGCCACATCCTCAACCCCTCAGTGCCTTCGATAACTGCTTATGCCAACCTCACTGTATCCTTTAGACAGGAAAAGGGCTGCTCTGCCCCATATTAGAGAAAATAGCAACAGCAACGTCAGAGCCATGACCCCCAGGGAGTGGAGCGGCAGCCGTTGAAGGACCCCTGGGCTGGTACCCTCTTTCAATGTCTAACAATTCCATGAAGGCTTCCTCAGGCCAGGTAAGATCACCTTTTTCTTTTGGTTCTTCTCCTACCTTCTTCTTGCAGTTATTAATTTCTGGGCTAGTTCAACTTTCCAATTTCTGTGCAATGGATCCCATGTGTTAAATGCCATTTGTTTGGAACATCTAGTGTGGTTTTTTTGTTTTCCTGACTGGACAAGAATTTTTTTCCTTGGAAATCCCAAATTGGAATGTTCTAATAGTCACGATTAAGCCTCAGTCAGAACGTTCTGGCACAAAGTACACATTTTGGAGTATGTTAACATTTACCAATTAAATGAAATTATAAGAGAGTAAAAAAAAAAATGATCTGAGATCATTCCTCACATTGGAGGCTGCTGGCACAACCCTATGTTATCTATTTATCATTTATGATACCAAATTTATAGGCACCAAGAGAGAAAAATATTCCAAGCCTAATTTTAAATCTGATGCATTCAAGACATTCAAGACACACACACACACACACACACACACACACATAAAAAAAAAAAAAAAAAAAAAAAAAAAAAAGGCAACAGAGAAATTTGAGAAGAATTGGCCTGAATGCCACCACAACTGAGAAAGACGATCAATATCATGTGTACACAATTGTCGTGATTATTATTGAGCTATGTTTAGTGTGTCAGGTTGTTACCACATTGTATTGATATTTTGGAAGTTGAACAGTTGTGAGGGAATTTGGGGGGGACTGAACTCATCTCAGTATAGTTCACATGGGGTCTATACTCAGATATAAATAGATGGATGGATGGATGGATAGATAGATAGATAGATAGATAGATAGATAGATAGATAGATAGATAGATAGACAGACAGACAGATAGATGGATAGATAGGCAGGCAGACAGATAGATATACATACATACATAGATGATTGATACATACACACATAGATAATAGATACATACATACATAGATGATAGATAGATGATAGATAGATAGATAGATAGATAGATAGATAGATAGATAGATAGATAGATAGATAATAAATATACACACATAAAATCAGTCACTCTGGAAACAGAGGACTATGGGGGCCACCCTGGAGAAACTTCTCTAAGGAAAGGTCTGTGGAGGCCTCTGGCATCTTCTCCCTACACACTGAGGAGAACGAATGAGACTATTTGTCATTACTGTAACAAAGTACCTAAGGTTGACGACTTTTTGTTTTGTTTTGTTTTTGTTTTTTGTTTTTTGTTTTTCAAGACAGGGTTTCTCTGTGTAGCTTTGCGCCTTTCCTGGGACTCACTTGGTAGTCCAGGCTGGCGTCGAACTCACAGAGATCCGCCTGCCTCTGCCTCCCGAGTGCTGGGATTAAAGGCGTGCGCCACCACCGCCCGGCGGTTGGTGACTTTTTAAAGAAGAGATTCAGCTCCTGGTTTTGGAATCTAAAATGTCCAAGGCTGGGTGATCTCAGTAGTAACAAACAGGTAAGGTGACTGGAAATATGAGGGAGCTGATGAGAAACCAGAGATCACAATGTTGACTAGGGTATCAGTGTGAGGGGTGGGACCAGAGATCACAATGCTGCCTAGGACATCAGAGGGAGGGGTAGGGCCGGATTCATTCTATAACAATCCCCTCATGAAAACTATGCTGGGTCATCTCCATTGGCAATTTGGCCAGATGAAAGATGCTTAGGAACTTGGTAAGGCATACTTCTAAGAGTGTCCAAGAGGGCGTTTCCAGAGATGATAGGCATGTGGGAGAGTCAATGAGAGGAAGGCTAGACACACTATCCAATAGGCTGGGAATTAGGATGGAGGGGGAAAAAAAAAAACAAGGGAAAGAGGAAGCTAGCCAGGCATATAAGCTCTGCTCTCCCTCTTTAACTGTGTCTACTACAGCTGCCGTCATCCATGAACAACAGACTCCAGCTACTTCAGTCTCGAATACCAGACACTCTCCAGGAAGCTTCCAGGCCTTCAGCCTCAGACTAGGGCTACGTCATTGGTACACCCTAGAGGAAGAAGGTGATGCTGGGATGAGGAAGACAGTGGGTGTTACTGTGGCTTCCAGCTACTGGATTCTCTGACAGTCCATCATGCAGATGGTCCTTGTGGAACTCTTTGGTCTGCAATCATAGAAGCCAATCCAATAAATGTTTCTGTGATCATTTTAAAATCACATATATCACAATATAGAATGTGTATGTATCACATATAAGCCTCCGTTTGTTCTATTCTTCTAGAAAGCCCTATTATAGGAACTGAGTCCGGCCTCACCCTCACATGTGCCCCATATGGAAACATGTCTTCACATGCATGCATACCACACACATAAAAATGGAAGTTAAAAAAAAAAAGTTGCAATGGAGGCAAATGTATAAGACAAGAAACACACAGGGATGTCACAGGTTCTGCTCATGGAGACTGACCTACTCAGGGTTAGAGGGGAGCCTCCAGACGCAGATGGGGATGCTGGGAACTAGAGGAGGATGCATGTTGCTAAGACACACTTTGTGTGTCTGCTGCTGACACACAAAGTCTGAGGATCCCAAGCAAAGCAGGAAATGGAAGACAGGGCAATTCCGGTCAGTGAGATAATATATTCCTGGTCAGACTGGGAGGGAAGGTGGGGTTCAATATGACCATCTGTGTCTCACAGGGAAGGAGAGGGGTCACTACAAGGCTAATCTGGGTCCTGTCCCAGTGAGGTGCCCTTGAAAGAGATCCTTCAACTAACTATATGAGGTCCCTAACGGATCATTGGTCAATCAAAACAGCGAATAAAACATGGGGGGGGCGATAATTGGAGAACAATTAGATCGACCTTTCTAAAAGACAGACCATGCCCCCCCTCCATGCCATTTTAGAGGAAAAAATCCAACTCCACAATCTGTCTGAAAGGCTCTTTCTGAACCGCTGGCAGGAAATTACCCTTCACCACATCTCCTTCCAGCTCCTAGCTGACGAAAATAGTTCCAGACACACAGAAGAAGCACTCTCGACGCCCGGAAGAGGCTAGCTTCGCGCAATCTGGCCCCAGTGTGTTCTGCCAGCTTGGGGGTCTCCATCCTTGGCCCCCGGTAAATGCCTGACGATCTACCAATACCCTACACAGATGTGTTCACTGGGAAACATCCCAGAGATCAGTGTCTCAGAAACACTTTCTTCTCCATCCGCCAAGTAGAGAAGGGCGCCATCTTCACTTACAGCAGCCAGCCGCCCCCCCCCCCCCTTAGACATTTTATTTTTCTCCCGGAAGACTGTCTCCCACTCTGTAAGAGTCAGGCATTGCTCCACAAGAGACAAATGTCCCCCTCCATGAGAGATGTAAGTCTCTCACCATTATACATTTATTCTACCTAATACAGGGCTGGTTCACAGTAAGTTTTTCAATCTTATTTATCTATTGTTATTGTCAGTGTGTTTGTACATGTGCGTTCGAGTGCACGCATGTGTGTGTGTGTGTGTGTGTGTGTGGTGGGGTTACACATGCCACAGCACATGTGTGGAGGCCAGAGGACAACTCTGGGGAGTTGTTTCTCTCTTTCCCTTGTTAAATGGGCTCCGGGGATCGAACTCAGATTGAAAAGCTTATGCCACAAGCACTTTACCTCACTGAGCCATCTCTCTGGCCCCGGCCAATTTTGATTAACATGAATTATGCCCAGGGATGGAGGTTCACTCCTGTAATCCAAGCATTCAGAAGGCTAAACCAGGAGGATTGTGAGTTCAAGGTCAGCCTGGGATAGATTGGAAGCCCCCAAAGAAAGGGGTGGATCTGCTTCCATATTAACAAGAGAGCTTAGCGCCCTGGCATAAATGAGAAATTTGGAATCTCACTCCTGGGAAGTGGTGCTAACCCAGGCACATTTATAGCCTCTCAAGCTACCCAGGACACAGCACTGTGCTGTTGGCTGGGAGAACACTGAGACGCCGCAGGGTGTCGCTCAGTGGTGTGGCCTTGCTTTGTGTGGCCAGTGTGAGGCCCCAGCACCACCAAGGAGAAGAAGAGGAGGGGGAAGGGGGAGGACAGGAGAGGGGGAAGGGGAAGGAGAAAAAGAAAAGCGGATGGAGGAAGAGGAAGAAAAAGAGAAATGAGGAGGAAGAGGAGGAGAGAAGAGGAGGAGGAAGGGATGAAGAAGAGGAAGGAAGAAGGAAAAGAGGAAGAGGAGGAGATGGAAGAGGAGGAGGAAGAAGAGGAAGGGGAAGAGGGAGAGAAGGAAGTGGAGGAGGAGGAAGGGGGAGAGAAGAGGAGGAAGAGGAGGAAGGGGAGGAGGAAGAGGGGGGGAGAAGAGGAGGAAGAGGAGGAGGGAAAGGAGGAGGAAGGGGAGGAGGGAGAGAAGGAAGTAGAGGAGGAGGAAGGGGGGGAGAAGAGGAGGAAGAGGAGGAGGGAGAGGAGGAGGAAGGAGAGGAAGAGGAAGATGGAAGGAGGAGGAAGAGGAGAAACAAAAAGAGCAGAAATGAGAGAAGGAGAAATGAGGTGGGGTGGGGATTTGAAAGGGAGGAGGAGGATGATGTCAGCCTCTGTCCTTCCCCTCTGCTGAGCCACAGGTCCTGAAGTTGTGCCGACAGACATGGCCACACCCACCCAAATGCAGGGACCAAGGCTCGGTCCACCCCCTCTATCCATGCTGCTCAAGTCACTAATGTAAAGGAAAAATCGTGTATTTAAAGGTTGGTGCGCATTCAAGTTATTATAAATGTCTACATAGATGTTATTTATGAAGTGGAAAGTGTAATCCATTTATGTTTCTTACACAGTAAATATTTCTAAGCATAAATTATTTGTACATCGTGTATATATTTATTTATGTAGAAATTGCAGAGCCTGGGGAGAGGGCTCAGGCAGCAAAGTTGTTTGCCATGCAAGTTTGAAAATTTTGATCCTCAGGACCCACAAAACGAAAGCTGGGCATGGTGACAGACACTTGTCATCCCAGTGATGGGAGGTGCGACAGAGGGATCACTGAGGCAAACTGACAAGCCCTCCCAGTGAGAGACCCTTTCTGAAAGGAAAAAAAAAATGTGATGGCTCCAGGGGAAGGCCACCTGTGGTTGACCTCTGGCTTTCATATGTGATGCGCGCGCGCGCACACACACACACACACACACACGTAAATTTTAAAAAAGAAATGATAAACCATCAGTGCACATTTAACAAAAAAGCCTTCCAGAACAAACATGGCCGTGCACAGCTGTGTTCCAGCGGCACTTGGGGGCAGGAAGATCGGGAGTTCAAGACCAGCCTCAGTTCCATGGAGAGGTCTAGGCCAATCTGAGCTAGATGAGACTCTGTCTGGAAAAAAAAGAAATCCTTCCCCTAAATAAAATGGAAAAGGAAAAAAAAAAAAGGGGGGGGTGCTCCAAGAGAGCACAGCTGCGCAGGACTATGAGTGTGTGCGTGTGTTCAAGGAACAGGCCGTGGCTTCAGACAGCATCGCGGTAAAGCGTCCACCTTCAGACTGCCCACAAGAGCAAAAAGCTGTTTGTCTCATCTTTTTTTTTTTTTTTTGGTTTTTCAAGACAGGGTTTCTCTGTGTAGCTTTGCGCCTTTCCTGGAACTCACTCTGTAGACCAGGCTGGCCTCGAATTCACAGAGATTTGCCTGCCTCTGCCTCCCGAGCGCTGGGATTAAAGGTGTGCGCCACCACCGCCCCATACTCCCCCTCCCCCCTGTCCCCCGCTGTTTGTCTCATCTTCTGAATGACAACATAGGGAAGACTGTGTGTGCCCTTATTGCCCCTGGATATGTGTATGAACATGTGTATAAATTCTATGAAAGCAAGGCAAAGTCTCATCCCAGAGCCAAATCTAACTTCAGGATCAACTCATCTTTTTTTTTTTTTTAAACTGCTCAGGGTCCAGGATGTACGTTCACACCTGTGCATACACACAAGGCAGAGGAGAACATCGAATGTTCTGCTCTGTCACTCTCTTATTCCTTTGAGATGGGGTTTCTCGCTAAACCAGAGCTAGGCTGGCAGCTAGCAAGCCCCGATGACCCTACCGCCTCTGTCTCCCACAGCGCTGAAGGCTCACACACAGCCGTACCTGGCTTTGCAAATGGGGGTTGGGAGCTCGACCAGGGTTCTCAGACGTTCCCAGGAAGTGTTCTTACCCACTGAGCCATCTCACCGGCCCCACAGGTTCTCTGAATAGCCCGGGCTAGCCTTGAGTAACTCTCTTACTTCAGCTCCTAAGTGCTAGGGTACAGGTGTGCACTGCCACGCTCCGCCAGCTCCCACGTCTCGCTGTGATCGGCCATCACGACTACAGGGATCTGTGGAGGGGGCTTTGGAAGATGTCTCCACAGAGGGTTGCTGCTTTCCTTGTGTTGAGACAGAGAGCTTTCCCTACCGGAAATCCCCGTGAGTCTGGCGTCAGCATCCTGATTCTTAAGTTCAGGGTTCCAAAGGATTAGCAGAAATAACACACTGTGGTGTGTCCCCAACCATCTCCCATCGCTCTCTTCAGTTACACACTCGACTTCCTCCTTCCATCTACCCCATTCTCTGGGCTAGTGAGGCATGGCACCCCATGGAAGGGCCTGGCACCCCCTAAAGCATGAACTGGGGCCATAAAGGATAAAGACGTCATTCATAAAATTTGTTCCCACAGCATAGGCGCTCTGAGCCTGAGAAGCTCTTGTGAAAATTCCCTCCCTGGTGGAGATGTGAACCTTCCTCAGAAGGCTCCAAAGGCAAACCAAAGTATAATTACGCTGAAGTTCACCTTGGCGGGACCACTAAGTTTATTGGGTTTACTTACAGAGCAAGGGTGAACGAGGAGTTACTGACAGGAACTTGGGTGACCCCAAAGCAGCCCCACCAGAAAGTCTTCAGCTAGCATCAAGAATGGCATCTCTTTTAGCACACAGGTGAAGCCATCTTCCTCTAGTCCTCTTCAGCCAATAAACGGTAGCCCTTCCCTAAGACCTTGCCCCCACCCCCCACAAGCACTTAAGACAAACTGCATACAAATGGCTGAAAGGAATGGCTGGATCTCGGGTGAGGGTCCAGTGACCCTCCCACCCCCTCTCTGAGGGACTGTCACAAGAGTCCCCAGACTTGCTCCTGGCAGACACTTACAAGCAGGCACAGCTGATATCATAAAGCTGGCGGCTGTACGGCTCAGAAGAAAGCGTCTTGCAACAGATGCTCCCTCTAAATCTAGGCACAGAGGGGTGATTACATGGATGCTGGGCTGCCTGGTG